TAATGTTGAATGTTAATTTTAGTTTTGTGGTATTTGTAAAATATTTGAAAAATTATGGTATTTGTAGGACATTTGAAAACGGTGGTGTTTTGGAAACAAAAATTTATTTAATAGTTTTTGTGAGAATTGTCTTTTTAAATATCAGTACCTCTACACTCTACACAATTAATCCATGATCTCTGCAATATAATTCAAAGTATCCAAGACTTGTTGCATCAATGGTCGTTTCTTCATGTCCCACTTGGTGCATCTTCTGATGAGTGTGCCCATCTGTGTCACTGCATTCACAGGATAATTGTTCCCAAGTCGTGGATCGACTATTTCTCCAATCTTATGAGCATCGGACAATAAAGGAGATATCCAATCATGTGAGCTTGTTGATCTTTTCGCATTTCTAATTGTATCTTTCGAACCAGTTAAAAGCTCAAGCAAGATCACACCAAATGTGTAAACATCGGACTTTATTTCCTCGCAACCTACGTACATAACACAATTATTGTGTTAATACTCAAAAATAAAAGATTAGTTAGAATCTGTAAAACCAAAGTTGGTGTACCTTCAGGTTCAGGAGGTGTGTATATAATATCTCCCATCCACCGAGTTTCCGCTTCCATATATTGTATGTGTGATTCAAGGTATAACAGTTTTGCATTGTATTGCTGATGAAAATCCAAACTTATGTATCAATTTCTAAGATCATAAACAAAATGGAAATAAAATCATTACCTCGTCAAGCATAATGTTATGCATTCTGAGTTCTTGAAATAGCGAGCTGTTCTTGATGGAGTGGATAAATGCAAGACCTTGGGCTATTCCAATAGCTATCTTAATCCGTATTTCCCAGGGCAATACCTGTTCTTCTGTTGAGAGAAACATGATACTATATGTAAAGCAAAATCGTATATACCGATTTTTAGAATGGAGCCATGTATTATTTCGAAGAGATCTTAACTTCCATAAAAGTGACAGTCCAAACTTCCTTTGTGCAAGTATTCGAAAACCAAGAAGAGTGATTTGTTATCGTCACAACAATAACCCAAAAGTTTGACCAAATTGGGATGAGAAATCTCTCCTACAGACTTCACTTGTTCCTGCAACTCATAGTTTTTGTGCGCATCAGATACACAAAACATATAAGGTCTTTCTCTAAAG